GTGTACCGGCGAGGCACGAGGGGGCGCCAGGGCACAGCGACGGGCGCGCGGGTGGACCCACCCGCGCTTCCGCCACTTGGGGCCGCTCATGAGGGGTCTGCTGGGGGCCGCAAAGGTGCACGTCCGGTCCCTCATGGGCAGGATTCAGGGGGCCGTGGAACGCAACCAGCAACCCCCCCGGACCCGCCCCTAGCCCTATACGTACTGCTGCGAGCTGCCCCCGCACTAGTGCCCGCCAAAGTTCCTTGCGTTCCCCAGTACCCTCTGCCCGGTGCAGCGAAGCGAGACATTGCGACGCCGCCTGACGACCCTGAGAGGAGGCAGTCTTTGAGCCTTCTCCGGCGACGGAGGCTCCCGAACTGGCTCGAGAGTCGGACACGCGAGAGGTGCGGTTTGCCGATGCGTCCGTGGAGCGGGGCCAAGGTGGCATCGCAAAGCAATGGCAGCAGAGATTCCCACCGGGAGATCGGTGACAGAGGAGTGGGAAGGTAGAGCTCAGGTAGGGGAGTTGGACGCTCTCTTATTCGCAGCAGCAGCAGAAGTGCCTGCACAATGTGCACCGGCTCTTGTGCGACTGACAAGGGTGCCGCGGAGTGGGTATGCCAGTGGGAATCCAGTAAGTGGGAACTGAACCCTACTAGAGTCTGGAGGGCCAAGGATTGTCAGAGGCTATTGGAAATGGGCAGGTCACAACCCTTGAAAGTGGTTTGGGTGAAAGGTGATGTGAAAAGTGAAACTCTGGCTGCTAAATGGAACCAATGGGCTGACCATTTAGCCAGCGTCAGAGGGGTTGACGGCATACGGGAAGAGTGGGAACGGTTAGCTGAGTGGCTGCACATTAAGCAAGGTCATTTGGGAAAAGCAGATCTTTATCATGATTGTTGGTCTCAGAAGTGGCCAGTGTCCATGGCAACATGTGAAGCCATCCTCACAGCCTGCCCACAGTGCCCGAATAAGGCTTAAAGCTGACCACCCAAACTGAGCCCCAGCCCAGCACATCAGGCAGGACAAGACACTTTGGAGCACCTAGCAGATTGACTATGTCGGGCCATTGAAACTATCTCGTGTGAATGTGTGCACACCTTGGACCACCATTCTTGCGTGTGTTGTGTACTGATAGACCTGTAATTTGTTAAATGTTGTTGGGGTGTCGTCCTCCTGGTCCAGCCCTCCTGGTCCTCTCCCACCTTGTTTCCTTAGTTTTGGTTGTTTAAAGCTTGTGGGAGTAGATATAGGCACACAGACTGCATAGTATTAGCTCCCAACTGACATCCTGACCCTGTAAATAAGCTGTGTCTGCTGAAGTGTTTGTAATATAAGATTTCCATTCAACTGTTCTGATACCAGTAAACTGATTTTTGAAATATACTTTTGGTCAGCCAAACACTCCGTGACACCCGGATAACCAGGTCTCCCATTTCCTTCCAGAGAGGGCCCACATTTTCCTTAGTGTTCCTTTTATCACCAATGTACCTATAGAAGCTTTTCTTGTTGCTCTTTACATCGCTGGCCAGATTTAATTCTGACAGGGCTTTAGCTTCCTGAACGAGATCTCTGGCTGCTCAGACTGTTTCTTTGTATTCCTGTCAGGCTACTTGTCCTTGCTTCCAACCACTGTAGGCTTCCTTTTTGGGTCTGAGTTTGTCCAGGAGCTACTTGTTCATCCATGCAGGCCTTGTGGTGTTTTTGCCTTCACTCTATTGGGATGCATCGCTCCTGAGCTTGGAGGAGGTGATCCTGGAATATTAACCAGCTCTCTTGGGCCCCTCTTCCCTCCAGGCCTTTATGCCATGGTACTCTACTGAGCAGATCTCTGAAGAGGCCAAAGTCTGCACTCATGAAGTCCAGGGTAGTGAGATTGCTCTGCTCACTCCTCACTGCCCTAAGGATCCTGAACTCCACCATTTCATGGTCACTGCAGCCAAGGCTGCCCTTGAGCTTTGCATTCCACACCAGCCCTTCCTTGTTGATGAGAACAAGGTCCAGCACAGCATCGTTCCTCATGGGCCTCTCTGTCACTTGGAGAAGGAAATTATCAGCAATGCATTCCAGAAACCTTCTGGATTGCTCATTCCCTGCTGTGTTTTCCCTCCAACAGATATCAGGGTGGTTGAAGTTTCCCAGGAGCACCAGGGCTTGAGAACATGAGTCTGCTCCTGTCTGTCTGTAGAGGGCCTCATGCGCTTGATCTTCCTGGTCAGGTGGCTTGTAGCAGATCCCGGCTATAGTGTCACCAGTCCCTGCCCTGCCTTTAATCCTGACCCATAAGCTCTCAGTTGGCTCCACATCCATCCTCAGGCAGAGCTCCATGCACTCCAGAAGGTCACTGACATAGAGGGCAACACCCCATCCCCTGCCTGTCCTTCCAAAAGAGCCTTTATCCTTCCGTTCCAGCACTAGCCGTAGAAGCCATCCCAGCACATCTCTGTGATGCCTGCTGTGCAGGCATGTGCACGTCTCTAGCTCCTCCTGCTTATTTCTCATGCTGTGTGTGTGCCTATGGGCATTTAATTGCCCTAGCACACCACACACCTCCCCTCCCGTGAAGATGACTTACTGTCTGGAGTGGCTGGAGTTCCTCTGTGCTGCTCTTCAGGGGCTCTTGTGCTGACCTGTAATCCTCCTCCAGGGAATCTGTTGCTGGCACTGGCATCAAACTGATAGCAGTGGACTGGATTGAGATTCCCCTCGCATGACTATTTTAGCAAACACTGTTCAGTGTTAGGAGGCATGTGGCCAATGGGCCGAGAGAAGTTGCTATTCCTTTGTGGTTAGTATTGGTGAGACTGCACCTCCTGGAATACTGTCTGGTTTTGGTTGGCCTGTTCAGAACAGATGCAGAGAAACTGGGGTAAAGTCCAACAGTGCAACAAAGACGGTCAGAGACCTAGAGCATGTGCTCTGTGGATGGAGACAGAGGGAGGGGGGCTTGTTTAGTTTGAGGAGAAAGCTCATGGGAGATGTAATAGCAGCCTGCTAGGGGAGTTAGAAAGATAAAGGCAAATTCTTCTCGGTAGTAGCAGGTAGTATAAGAAGGAGTAATGACCACAAATGGCAGTTTGGGAGGTTCAGATGATGGATTAGGATAAAATTCTTCACCCTGAGGTTAATGAAGCACTGGAATGGATTGCCCAGTGGAGTATGTGGAATCTTCATATTGAGAGATTTCCAAAATTCGTCTGGATGTATCCCCGGCTAGCCTACTCTAAAGTTGTCAATGGTCCTACTATAAGCAGGAGGGTACCTCTAGATCTATTCTAGAGGCCTCATACAGACAGCATCGCCATGATTGGGTGATATGGTCTGAACTATTCATCTGATGATCTTTTTTAAAAATTATTGCTATGCTATTCCTCATCTCAGTTTGGATAGGAATCTCAAGGCAGTTTCAGTATTTCAGAAAAAGAAGGATATATGATCGTGGCTGTATTTTTTATGTTTTGATCTAGTGTCTGGTTTGTTTAGCTGAATATCTGAATAGCTAGTTGTCTGCATGTTTTCAAAACACAGTGATTACCATCTCTTTGAAATTTTGTGGACTTTGGGAGTGAAATGTGGTTTAGCTAGATTGCTTAGAGAATACCAACAATATATTTTTGTAACCAAGCAAGATCTAGGTACATACATATATTGTGTTAAATATTTATAGATAGTGAGAACATTTGTTATTTTAGTGAAATAAGGCCTAAAGAAAAAAAAAAGGATAAATTAGTTCTCCTTAGAATTGATTTGGCTTTTAGATATAAATGGATCTGAGAGCTGGGCTTATTTTAACCCTTCAGTTTGCTTGAAACTCTAGTATGGATAGAAGAGGAGATGCAGCCAGCTGTCATTACTATGGAGTTTGAGAAGAGGCAATGCTACAGTGTAAAGTGTAGGGAGGGAAGGGATGTGGTGGAGGGGAGAGAGGATCTGTCTGCCTCAGAAAATCTGTACTGCGCGACATCTCATATGTATCTGGAGGATCTTGATCTAAACCAGAAAAGGGAGTGATGCCTGCTTTTCATTTACTTGCATCTTAATTTTATTACTTCTTTTTGCTACCCAGAGCTTTTGCCCACATTGTTTAGCAAGGTCAGCTACACAGTTATTTCCCTTTTGATGGACTTAATAAATTATGGTGAGTGATGTCTTAAAATGTGCTGTTTTACCATAAAACATTCACAAGGAGGAATGACTTGTTGGGTTAATTGCTTGCTTCACTTGTCAGAGCTAAAGCCTGGTATTTCTGACAAACCATGCCTTTATAAATCAGTTCCAAATAGAGTAATGAAAAAATGTTTGTATTTGTATGAGAAATCTTTGAACACTTCATATACATTGCAAGCTATTTTGTGACATTTGCGAAAGCCCAGAACTTGCAGACATTTATGCATGTATTTAGTTTGTGCACAAGTGGGTTTGTTGCACATAAAATTAGTTAGCTGCATATGTCTTCACAGGATCAATCTTGAAAGCGTAGGCAATTTATACCTATCAGCTGTTAATCCTGTGGCACATCAGAACTGGAGACTCCTGAGTTTTAATCTCTACAAAGCAAGTAAAAAATAGAGTACATGCTTTTGAGAACATGTGCTCCAAAATGTACTCCCAAGCAGAACTCAAAACATTTGGAAAGAGCTGCGAGCAATATATGTGGTTATATACTACTCATCTTGTGAAATAAAAATATGTAAGTGATGACCAAAAATTATAAAAATCCCATTTGTCTCGTTACCAAAGCAGTTTTTGAAAGCAGAAATGGAAAATACATGTTCCTCCACTTTATATATTCCTTTTCTATGACTGTTCAGGATATTTATAACTCCAAACTTGCTTTTCTTTGAATGTTTGTATCTCAACTTCTGCATCGGTATTGGCCATGTCCTCAAAGAATGGATCCAGATCAGAATCTGCTTTGGAATGGGTGAGTTAGGTTTCATTAAACGTAGGATGAGAATTTGGGATATCAAGTCACTAAGATCTTAAAAATTTGAAGTTCAGTTTTGCATTCATGTTTCCACTGATGGATAAATGATGACAGGACCTTTTTTCCCTCTCTGTAAATACAGTATCATTGTGTATTTTGAACGATTTAACAGCATTTTAATCCCAAGGAGATGGTACAAAATGACAGCATATGCATCAAATTCTTTCCATCTCTGGAAACAGTTCAAGTTTATATAAGGATATTTATGAAGTATTTTCATAGAGTCATAGAATCAGAGGTTGGAAAAGACCTCTAAGATCATCAAGTCCAACCATCAACCCAACACCACCATGCCTACTAAACCATATCCCGAAGTGCCACATCTACATGTGTTTTGAACACCTCCAGGGATGGTGACTCAACCACCTCCCTAGGCAGCCTATTCCAATGTCTGACCACTCTTTCAGTAAAGAAATTTTTCCTAATATCCAATCTAAACCTCCCCTGAAGCAACATGAGGC